GGACATCATCCGCGTACAGATGACACCGTACCCCGAAACTCCGGATGATCTCCCCCAGCGGCTTCATGTAGATGTTAAACAACATGGGAGACAATATTGAGCCCTGAGGAACCCCACAAGACAATGGTTGTGGGGTTGAACAGGTGTCCCCCAACAACACCTTCTGAGATCGACCCTCCAGGAATGACCGGAGCCACTGCAAAACAGTACCTCCAAGACCCATCCCCGCGAGGCGTCCCAGAAGGATACCGTGGTCGACGGTATCGAAGGCCGCTGAGAGGTCCAGCAGCACCAACAGGGACACACTCCCCCTGTCGAGCTCCCGGCGCAGATCATCCACTAAGGCGACCAAGGCTGTCTCGGTACCATGTCCCGGCCTAAAGCCAGACTGTGCCGGGTCTAGATAACCCGTGTCTACCAAGAATACCTGGAGTTGTGAGGCCACCACACGTTCCAAGACTTTGCCCAAGAAGGGGAGATTGGAAACTGGCCGATAGTTGTCGAATTTAGTGGGGTCCAGTGATGGTTTCTTCAACAGTGGTTTTATTATGACCGGCCAGGCTTTATTTAAAAAAAAATGACACAAATATGGATTACTCTTTATCCAGAAGGGATTGAGGCTGGATGGCCATCTGTTGGGGGTGCTTTGAAGGCAATTCTCCTGCTTCTTGGCAGAATAGGGTTGGACTGGATGGCCCACGAGGTCTCTTCCAACTCTAATGATTCTATGAGCAACGATGCCCATAGGGTTAGAACTTCCATTGAAGCCAAAGCCAGAGTTGGGCTTGTTTACTCTGCACTCCTCCCCAATCTTCCTCTTTAGATACTTGGCATTTCTGGGGAGAGAATCAGACCCATTTCCCCTGGAGGAGAATGTATAGGCAAGGCGGATTGGGGGATGAAAAAGAAGCCGAAGGAAGGCGGGGATGCACATGTTGCCTCCTTGGAAGAGAAGGGTTAAGCGGAAACAGTTTCTCAATCGCCTCCCTTTTAGTTGGTTGGTTGGTTGGTTGGAGAGATAATATATTTATTTCCCCGCCAATGCCCATTCATGGAATCTAAGCACTGGTGAGCTCCTCCTTGGCCGGATCTTCCTCTCTTCTTGGTCATTAGTCTCTGAAGGGGAAGAATGGTCTGAGGGGGATGAACCAGAGACCTTTGAGCTATAAGGGGAAGGGAAAACTCCGAAAAGTGGGCGGCTGTTGGGAGAAGAGCAGGGTCTGCATGTACTTTTCATGCATTCTTGCCTGCTTGTAAGACCAAGTCCCTGCTTTTCTTCCTACTGTTTTGGGCACATGGGCAAACTTGGGCCCTCCAGGTGTTTTGGACTTCAGCTCCTACCATTCCTAACAGCCTCAGGCCCTTTCCTTTGCCCCCTCAGCCGCTAAGCGGCTGAGGGGGCAAAGGAAAGGACCTGAGGTGTTAGGAATGGTGGGAGTTGAAGTCCAAAACACCTGGAGGCCCCCAAGTTTGCCCATTCCTGGTGCAGACATATCCTTAGGTACAGGAAGCAATCTGAATGATTCAAGCATCACTTCCTCACCATTTGGGTAAACCAAAGTGCTGTTTTATTTGGCTCTAGTGGGCCTTTTGGGCCATTCTTCTCATTTCACGCAAGGTCTTTCCAAATCGTGTCCGAAGTGCATTCCACACAGCAACATGTCTCCCAAGACCCTCAAGAAGATCCATGGTTCTTGTATATTCATACATTTGGGTTCAATCCGCTTTTGTTTCCTTTTTGCTCATGATTCCTGAGTTTAGTGGGTCCCCAAAGGAACTTGGGGGTCTCCTGAAGAGCCCCCCCCCAACCACCACTTCTTTCCTCCTCCTCTTAGAATCACAGAGTTGGAAGAGACCTCGTGGGCCATCCAGTCCAACCTCATTCTGCCAAGAAGCAGGAAAATCATATTCAAAGCATCCCTGACATGGCCATCCAGCCTCTGCTTAAAAGCCCCCACCAAACTCTGGGGCAGAGAGTTCCACCGCTGACCAGCTCTCACAGTCAGGAAGTTCTTCCTAATGTTTAGGTGGAATCTCCTTTCTTTTAGTTTGAAGCCATTGTTCCTGCCATACTACAAAAACAAGACTCCAGATCACTTCCTCACCATTTGGTGCAACCAAGGGCTGTTTTATTTGGCTTTACTGGGCCTTTTGAGCCAATCTTATTTCACCTGAGGTCTTTTCAAAGGTGTGTCGAGTCCTAAGTGCTTTTCACACAGCATTGCGTCTCCCAAGACCCTCGAGGAGATCCAACATGGTTCTTCTATACTCATACAAGTGGGTTCGATGCTCTCTCGTTTCCTTTTTACCCTTGTTTCATGAGTTTTAGTGGGGTCCCATAGGGACTTGGGGGTCTCCTGAAGAGGGCCCCTTGGAGCACCACTGCTCTCCTCGTCCCCTTGCAAGGAAAGAAACCAGAGATCCCTTTGATTAAGTTTGAACCCAGAAAAATCTCATTCAGACTTAGTTGCTGTGACTTTTCCAGGCTATATGGCTATGTTCCAGAAGCATTCTCTCCTGGCATTTCACCCACATCTTTGGCAGGCATCCTCAGAGGTTGTAAGATCTGTTGGAAACTAGGCAAGCAAGGTTTAGATATCTGTGGAATGTGAGCTGGCCCAAATTGTTTCATGTCTGGATTTCCCCTGCTTTTTTTGAGTGTTGCTCTTTATTTACTGTCCTGATTTTAGAGTTTTTTTTTAATACTGGAAGCCAGATTTTGTTCATTTTCATGGTTTCCATATTTCTGTTAAAATTGTCCACATGCTTGTGAATTTCAATAGCTTCTCTGTGTAATCTCACATGGTGGAAATCCCAACCAAGTATTCCCCCCAGGCAGGAAGCAGCCAGGCTTTGAAGCAGTAAGGCTATTCAATGCTAATCATTGGTTGTTGTTTTGATGGTTGTTCTTATATTATGTTATAATGTTATTTTATGCTGTTGTTTATGTATTTTAGTGTGTTACATCTTAACTATGTTAACTGGGCTTGTCCCCATGTAAGCTGGCCCGAGACCCTCTGGGGAGATGGAGGCAGAGTACAAAAATAAAGTTATTATTATTATTATTATTATTATTATTATTATTATTAATCAAAGTGGCCAATTGCACCATTCACACTTGCCTCAAACAAACATGAGCTCTTTCTCCCACCCTGGACATTCCACAGATATATAAACCCCACTAGGGAGCCCTCGGTGTCACAGTGGGTTAAACCACATAGCTGCTGAACCAAAAGGTCACAGGTTTGAATCTGGGGAGTGGCGTGACCTCCTGCTGTTAGCCCCAGGTTCTGCCACTTTAGGAAGGAATAATTCCCATTGGTGGTGCAGCGGGTTAAACCGCTGAGCTGCTGAACTTGCTGACCAAAAGGTTGGTGGTTCCCGCTGTTAGCCCCAGCTTCTGCTATCCTAGCAGCTGGAAAAAAGCAAATGTGAGTAGATCAATAGGTACCTCTCTGGTGGGAAGGTAATGGCACCCCATGCACTCATGCTGGCCACATGACCTTGGAGTTGTCTATGGACAATGCCGGCTCTTTGGCTTAGCCCACACTCAGATAATGTGGGATTTTCTGCCTTGATATTCTGGGATATAGGGCTGTGCAGAAGGGCCCTGAGTGTGGACTCAAATAACCCAGTTCAAAGCAGATATTATGAGATTTCATTTATTATTTATTTATTTACGACATTTCTATGCTGTCCTTCTCACCCTGAAGGGGACTCAGAGCGGCTTACAAGGTATATATGCATACAATATATTATATTATTAGCATAGTACAGTATCAGTATTAAATATTACTATATTGTGCTATATCATTATATTGTAATATTATTAGTAATATTACATGTAATGTAAATATATAATATTTTTTGCCTTGATATTATAATATATAATGTAATATAAATATATATACATATAAATATTCTGCCTTGATATTCTGGGATATAGGGCTGTGCAGAAGGGCCCTGAGTGTGGACTCAAATAACCCAGTTCAAAGCAGATATTGTGGGATTTTCTGTCTTGAAGGGCCCTGAGTGTGGACTCAAATAACCCAGTTCAAAGCAGATATAGTGGGATTTTCTGCCTTGATATTATGAGATATAGGGCTGTGTGGAAGGGCCCTGAGTGTAGACTCAAATAACCCAGTTCAAAGCAATCTGGGAATTTCTGCCTTGATATTCTGGGGTATAGTGCTGTGTGGAAAGGCTTTGAGTGCAGACTCAAATAAGCCAGTTCAAAGCAGATATGGGATTTTCTGTCTTGATATTCTGGGATATAGGGTTGTGTGGAAAGGCCCTGAGTGTGGACTCAGATAACCCAATTCAAAGCAGATATTGTGGGATTTTCTTCCTTGATATTCTGGGATATAGGGCTGTGTGGAAAGGCTCTGAGTGTGGACTCAAATAACCCAGTTGAAAGCAATCTGGGATTTGCTGTCTTGATATTCTGAGATATAGGGCTGTGTGGAAGGTCCCTTTGTGTGGACTCAAATAACCCAGATATTGTAGGATTTTCTGCCTTGATATTCTGGGATATAGGGCTGTGTGGAAGAGCCCTTCAACAACTCATTCAGACTCTTTAAGGAGCTCAGGGGGGAGGGGGAGAGGCAAAGTAAAAGAGGAGGGGGAGGAAGAAGAAGAAGGGGGATTTAGGTGGGGGGTTGGGTTGGAGCTCCAGAAAAAGGGAGGAAAAAAAAGGACCCCAGGCGTTGGGGAGGGGATGTCCTTCCTGGAGATGCCCCTTTGCAAGGGCTAGAAAGGGTTCCTCATCTTCCAAGGCTAGGGATTGTAGTGGATGGAAAAAAATGTCAATAAAATAGTATTTCAGGCTGTGTTCTTTTTTGTTGCTGGTTCAAAAGATGCTGTGTGTGTGTGAGTGTGTGTGTGTGTGTGTGCAAGGGGCTGCCCCTCCCCTCCTAGGGGTGGTCCTTTCTTTCTCCCTCCACCACGTGGCTTCCTCTTGCAAACATTTTTCACTCATTTTTCCAGGTCGATTTTATTTAGAGGCGGAGCCAAGGGCGGCCTCAAGCCTGCGAGGCGTCCTGTGTGTGGATGCCTGCCTGCCTGCTTGCCTGTGTCTGGATGTGTGTGTGTGTGTGTGGGTTGAGTGTGACACATGAGTTGCGACTCAAAAGGAGTTGGGGGGCCTCTGGAAGAGAGAGAGAGAGAGAGAAGAGAGGGAGGGAGAAAAAGAGGAGGGGGAAATAAGCCATTTTTCCCAAGCCCGCCATACCAAGTTGCATCCAAACCCACCACCAGCTTTATTGATTCTGCAAAACAGGGGGCAGGCATTTCTCTCTCTCTTCCCCCCTCTCTTTCCTCTTTGGTTGTCCCCTTTTCCTTTCCTTTCCTTTCTTTCCCACACCCAAATAGAACTGGGATTTTTTTTCTTCTTCCCCACTTTCCCTGTTTACTAAATCACTTTCCCTATTTACTAAATTGAATCAGAAACTTTTTTTTATTTTTTTGCAATCAGAAGAATCTATCCAAAGTTTCCTTACATACACAACCCAGTGTGTGAGGTTGTTTTTTCTTCTTCTTCCCTCCCTTTCTGTTTCTTTCTCTCTGGCTTTCCCTCCCACCTTCTGGGACTTCCTCCCTTTTTGGACCTACCCAACATTTTGTGCAAAAGGCATCTCCACCAGCCATGAACAAGCTCTACATTGGGAACCTCAACGAGAACGTGACTCCTGCGGATTTGGAGAAAGTCTTCAACGACCACAAAATTTCCTTCTCGGGCCAGTTCCTGGTGAAATCTGGCTACGCCTTTGTGGATTGCCCAGATGAGCAATGGGCCATGAAAGCCATCGAAACTTTCTCGGGTAAGCCAATGGATTCCCCATATTTATTTACTTTGTGTTGCCTTTTCCACTTCTTCCCTCTTCCTGCAAACATGGGGATTGCTTATTATTAATTCTATGGAGAGACCCCTTCATTCCTTCCTTGTGTCCAAAGACTTTGGAAAGATCCAGATCAGGAATGGGCCATGAAAGCCATCAAAACTTTCTCGGGTAAGCCAATGGATCCCCCATATTTATTTACCTTTTGTTGCCCTTCCCACTTCTTTCTTCTTTCTGAAAACATTTTATTATGATTTATATGGAGATATGGAGAAACCCCTCCATACACCACTTAGGAAACCCACCCACCAGGACCCTTTGCCTAACAGCCTTGTGTCCAAAGACTCAAAGTGTGGAAAGATCCAGATCAGGAATGGGCCACGAAAGCTATCAAAACTTTCTTGTAAGCCAATGGATTCCCCATATTTATTTACTTTGTGTTGTCTTTTCCACTTCTTCCCTCTTCCTGCAAACATGGGGGTTATTTATTATTAATTCTATGGAGATACCCCTTCCTTCCTTCCTTCTGTCCAAAGACTCAAAGTGTGGACTGATCCAGATTAGGAATGGGCCATGAAAGCCATCGAAACTTTCTTGTAAGCCAATGGATTCCCCATTTATTTACTTTTTGTTGCCCTTTCCACTTCTTCCCTCTTCCTGCAAACATAAGGGTTATTTTTTATCATTTATATGGAGAAACCCCTTCATATCCTACTAAGAAAACCCACCCACCAGGACCCGTTGCTGTTGGGGATTCCTTCCTTGTGTCCAAAGAGTCAAAGGTGGAAAGATCCAGATCAGGAATGGGCCACGAAAGCCATCGAAACGTTCTTGTAAGCCAATGGATCCCCCAGATTTATTTACTTTGTGTTGCCCTTTCCACTTCTTCCCTCTTCCTGCAAACATGGGGATTATTTTATTATTATTTATATGGAGAAACCACTTCATTTCCCAATAAGAAAACCCACCCACCACGACCCTTTGCTGTTAGGGATTCCTGCCTTGTGTCCAAAGACTCAAAGCGTGGAAAGAAAGATCCAGATCAGCAATGGGCCATGAAAGCCATCAAAAGTTTCTTGTAAACCAATGGATTACCCATATTTATTTACTTTTTTGTTGCCTTTTCCACTTCTTCCTTCTTTCTGCAAATGTTGGGGTTATTTTATTATTCTTTATATGGAAGAAACCCCTTCATAGACCACTAAGAAAACCCACCCACCAAGACTTTTTGCTGTTAGGGATTCCTGCCTTGTGTCCAAAGAAGACAGACTCCAAGCATGGAAAGATGCCTTGTTTCTTTCTCTACTGTTTTCCAGTGTCATCAATTAAAGTTCACTTTCGTTTCATCCCTTCCAAAATGTGGGTGTTTTTCTTCAAACTTCCAGTTTCTTATCCGTATCCTGCGTTCAGAAACCAAGAAAAAGGTGTCTTTTCTGCCTTCATGGCTTGGCGTAGAGCATAATAAACAACTTCATGGGGCCTAGAATCAACTTCCATTGGATTTACAAAACTTGCCCCCAGTTTTTTATCCGAATCCTGCATTCAGAAACCAAGAAAGGTGTATTTTCCACCTTCCTGGCTTGGTATACAGTGTGAATCAATTTCATAGGGCCTAGAAATGTCCATCAACTTCCATTGGATTTACAAAACCTGCACCCAGTTTCCTATCCGAATCCTGCATTCAGAAACGAAGAATTGTGTCTTTTCTACCTTCATGGCTTGGTGTAGAGCATGATAAACAACTTCATGGGGCCTAGAAATGCCCATTAACTTCCACTGGATTTGCAAAACCTGCCCCCAATTTCTTATCCAAATCCTGGATTCGGAAAGGTGTATACTAAGCCTTCATGGCTTGATATAGAGCACAATAAACAACTACATGGGGCCTAGAAGTGCCCATCAACTTCCATTGGATTTACAAAGAACTCGGTTGTAAAAAAATATTTTTTTTGTTTTCTCGGATTGGGAGGAAGATTGGGATGATTTGACCACCACTTTATAGAATAGGTCCTTCTTTTGATTTATTATTATTTATCTGAAGAAACCCCTCCATACATCACTTAGAAAACCCACCCACCACGATCCTTTGCTGTTGGGGATTCCTGCCTTGTGTCGAAAGAAGACTAAAAGCATGGAAAGATGCCTTCAGCCACACTTTGCCTTGTTTCTTTCTCTACTCTTCTCCAGTGTCATGAATGAAAGTTCACTTTTGCTTCGCCCCCTCCGAAATGTGGGTGCTTTTCTTCAAACCCCCAGCTTCTTATCCGAATACTGCATTCAGAAACCGAGAACTGTGTCTTTTCTGCCTTCATGGTTTGGTGTAGAGGCGAATAAACAACTTCTTGGGGCCTAGAAGTGCCTATCAACTTCCACTGGATTTACAAAACCTGCCCCCAGTTTCTTATCCAAATCCTGCATTCAGAAACCGAGATCTGTGTCTTTTCTGCCTTCATGGTTTGGTGTAGAGGTGAATAAACAACTTCTTGGGGCCTAGAAGTGCCCATCAACTTCCACTGGATTTACAAAGAGCTGTGTTGTAAAAATGGTTTTGTTTCCTCCCCACCACCCCAAATAAATCCTTATTGGGAGGAAGATTTGGGGGATTTGACCACCACACTTTATAGAACAGGCCCTTCTTTGATAATAATAGGGTTTGAAAATAATGATAATAATAATAATACTAAAATAAATGGCTCCCTGCTTCCTTAATTCACTGTTGAGAGCGAAGGCACCAAAATGGGTGAAAGAAAGAGCCTTTCTTGGCCTCCTTCTCTAGAGGCCTCTCCTACTCCTAAATTAAAACACACCACAGGCCTGCGTTAATTGGAAATGAAAACACATTGAACCTCCCCTCACAAAAACCCAGGTTGGGCTATCGACTTCGTGTGTCCCCCGCCCCTTTTCTCTCTTTCTTTTTCAAAGCCATTTGGGATTTTCCCATGCGTTCAAATGGTCCAAATTTTTGACCCATAATGGTGTATGGTACTTTGTGGGTTAGGAAGGAAGTCTCTTGGGGATGAGGGGAAATGGGCAGGAAGAAAGAGAGCTGTTGGACTTTGGCCATTTTGATTTCAAACTGGGTTTTCCTGGGGCATGTGATGTGTGCCTTAGCGTGAAGGAAGGTCGCCATGCTGCTCAGAGATTGAGAAGAGAGGCAGAGAGGAAGCAGTGAACAAGGCTGGGGTTGGCTTTTGGCTGAGAGCAAACCTCTCGGGTCCTTCTACTACCCAAAAGCAATACTTTTCCAGTTTTAGAACCTTTCCCCCCCCATTGGAATACCTATTCATGGGATTCTTTCAAAATATATACATATTTCTGAATACCAAATAAGTTGGGAGTGGAATTAACCCAGCAAGGAGGCCTTGTCACTCTTATTTTCATTCATCTTGGTGATAAAACAGATCTTTTACCATGTTACCATTGAAATCAACACATTTGCCAAAAAATAGGATCATACAAAAGCCTCACCCTTTTGGTTTTACTCCTGTTTTGGCTCATTTTTTTTGCAAATCCAGTTATATTTTAAATAAATATCATGGGGGGAAGCAGGCCTTGTGGTTACTGATAAAATCCCCTTGGATTCCCCTAAAAAGTTGAATTAAATATTAAGAGTGGGGGTAAGCATTAGAAGTTGTGCTCTCATTTCCCTTTGTATGTTATTTTTGAAAAATACACTTGAATTTTGCCATTATTTGTTGTACTTGAGTCCCCTCAGGGGTGAGAAAAGCAGTATATAAATACAGTAAATAAATAATATATAAATTGTATTTTTAGGGAAAGTGGAGCTGCATGGAAAACAGCTTGAGATTGAACACTCTGTACCTAAAAAGCAAAGGTAATCCAATTGTTTAATTTCTTTAATTTTGTCAGTATTGAAAGGAAAAAGTTAACAAAAGAAGAAAAAAATGGATGCTAAAAATTTCAAAAGTTGAGTGGGAAAATTTCAATTTCCTGCAGGGTGTAATTACATTTTCATTCTCCATTCTAAAAGGAAATTGTTTAGGGCAGGAACTCCTTGATGGTTGAATTGTCCATTTTCTTTCCATTTAAATTCTTCAAGTTGTTTTTGACACACTAAAGAAAAAATATACTAGTAGTCTGCAGTGGTGTATTCAGTAATATTTGAAAAGTGGAGGCTTATTGTTTAAATGGTATGATCATCTTCTGTCTAAGTAAGTTTCCACTTGACAAGATGGTGTGTTTTTTTTTAAAATCTGACTTCTGTTTTAATTTTCTTCCTAAAGTTGAGCAGACAAAAAAACTTACTAACTCAATTTCCAGAAAGGAAAAGGACGTATGTGCTTTACAGTTGTTGTTTCTCTAAATATTCTAAAACTTTGCACTTTTATGGAGATCTATTTCTTTGATCATGCCTTTAAAGTAGCATTAGTGTATTTAAAAACATATCAGGCCTATTTTGTGTAGTATTTTGATTAGCTAGACTTATTTTTGCACTTTTTGGGGGTAAAAATGATATTATAATGAGCCTTGTCGTTTAGAAACATTTCACAACTATTCCCTGTTTGTATGAAATCTGTAAAGCAAGCACAACATTCACAATACACTTTTTGAAAACCAGAATTTAGTGTGAACACTTATTTTCCAAGCACTCGTTTTCAAAAATAGAAGCGGAGGGGGTGGAGTGAAACCAAATGCCTGTGCCTATCGCTCAATATCTTATTTTTCTGTGATTGACATCACAACTTCCTTCTCTTTCATATTAAACCCCTTTCTTGGACTTTTAAACTTTGTAGCAGAATGTGCTGATGGAGGAGTATATTTTTTATGACTGGCTTCCTGCAGTTCCCTCTGTGAATTGGAAACCTCCCAAAATCTATTTGATTAATTTATTTTATTGTACCAACAGGCATGGCTTTCTGTAATGAGTGATCAATAGTGCTTGTAACAGTTTTCATAGTGTGATACATATACGTTAGCTGTGGTTTTACATGGCAGTTGGGAGGAATGTTGTTGGGAAGGCAATTTCAGTATGAAACAAAGCATGATAAATATTGGGGTGGGGGGCTGGTGACCGCAACAGGGTGGAAGGGAGGAGAAAAAGAACTTGATTACTCTGGTTTCTCCTTTAGTGCTGCTTTTACAAATCAGTTGTACGTAATATGAATGATTTGAGGAATTACTGAATTGTGTTTCTCCTTAGACTTTACGTAATGCTAAAAAACCCATACAGATTAATCACTGGATGAACGTTGTAATTAAATCACATTGTATACTTAATGTGTATGAGTAAAGAGATCAAACCTTTCAGTAAGGTTTGGCGAAATCAAACAGGTTTCCAGACCTTTAACTATTTGGCATTGTATGTTTTTAAACCCATGCATCTAATGACAAACAAGCCTTTCTTAATAGTCACTGATCATATTTGAGTTTCCAAAGTATTCTTTAATGAAGTAAATTTGATGTCTTTGTAAATTAATTTAGGATAAATTTTAATCTTGCACATTAGATGTATATAAATGCACTTTTGTACATGCCCAAAACAAAAATTGCCTTTCTTTTTTTTGTTGAAGTAAAAAGGGGGAAATGCCCAATCTTTCTGGTAGGTTGTTAGAACAAGTAAGAATGGCTTGTTTATCAAGATAGATCACCTTTCCATTGATAACAAAACGGTTTTGTAAAATTGTATTTTTTTAATGGGCTGTGTGTGTGTGTGTTTATGAATTCCATGCATTAGGACTTGATTTTCCAGTTTTGGGGGTGATACCTAAAGCAGAAACTGGTAAATTAAATAAGACTACCATAGTATTAATGATTGGTGACTTTGAGAATTGTGTAGCCAGCTTCTAGCCATGTAAAGATGATCAGTTTTTAAGTAAAGATTTAAAACAAACTTTAGAAAAATGGGAGCTTTTTATTAATCTGTGTGTTTTTAGGTATTAAAATAATGCAATATCAAATCACACATGGTTTTGTTTCATTGCAAAAAAAATCTGTTTTGCCTTGTTTATTGATCCCCATTAATTAGAAATTACCTAAAATGTTCATACGTACCTTAGTAGATGATTTCCTAGGGCTGAGTATCAACTCTGGTGACACTCACATAGCTTGTCTATCATTTATAAATTGTGCTACATGGCTATTTTCAGTATAAATTAAGGCAAAGGCAGAATGTATCAATGATCTGTAGAAAAATTCTTATAATGACTTGAATTGCTAACTATTTCAAATGTCATTATAAGTAATTTTTTAATGAATTAGAGCTATTGTAGACTGCTATAGTAAACACTTGCAACTTAACATATAAAGGCTGAAACCACAGACCTGGGGTTACACTTAGTATTTTCTAAATATAGGAAACATACATTTGGATAAGTGAATTTTTAGTTTCCTGCTTTAAAAAAACCCAACGAATTTCATACAAACACATGACTTACAGCTCAGCATGGTGTTTATAATGCTTTGGGGGATTGGAAATGCTTTGGGTATGTGTGTGTGTGTGTGGAGTATTTCCATTCCCATCTTAATGTTCTTTCAAAAAGTTCCATTGACTGGAAGGGGACTTACAAGAGAGCTGTAACGTGCAATACAAAAATGTATATAGATTTGGGGGGAAGGGACAAGGGAAGAGATGTGTGTGTGTGTTTAGGGGATGTGTTTTCAGTTATATGTTCATTGAGAAAAAAAGAGAGAAAATTGCCATTTTATTCCTTAAACAGTCAGCAAATTCCTATTGGCGATGGAAAGGGTTAATTAAAACAACCTGGAAGATGTTTTAAGAACTCAAGAATGTTAAGAAATGTTTGGAGGTTAGGGGTGGGGTTGTCTGAGACTGAAAAGATTGAAGTGGATAGAATAGTGGTGTGGGGGAAGAGAAGGACAAATATGAATGGAAGAAAACGAGAGGAGGGGGAAATTAAGTGAATCTATCAAGCACACATTCCAAATATGAAGACTGGAAGTGACTAGTTTAAGGAGAATGAAACTTTAGCACGTGAGGAAAAAGTGATTATGTCTCAGTTGCTAAAAATTCATACAAATGTGGAGATTGCTCTGTTACAAATTGCCAACAGGTATCCTTCAGAGTTTAGTTACCAACAAAATTAGCACACATTAATTATGTACATTTTCTTTTTTTTAGTTTGATCATAATTTCAGTAAAATTGTCATAAAATTTGCTTCAGATATCTTAAATTGACAGTACACTAGTTAGCATGTCTTAAGTCTATCTAGTCAAAATGTTTAGTCACTTGTAATAGAACATGTGAAATCTTCTATTGTGTGGGCAGTATTTCTGAAAATTGTGTAACTACGTAAGTATATATCAGTGCAACTCTATATATCTGCTCCTATGGTCATAGACTAAAGATTTTTTAAAAGCTAGTTTTCCCCATTTAGAATACTATCTAATTCTCAGTACAAATTACCATTCACTTGTTTGCCACATTGTCAACAATAAAAGATGGAATTTTAAAACTTTGCTTGAAAAGCATCTACTTAAATACATTAAATGCTGGTTTTTGTAATGGTTCTGTTTTGCCGTGTGTATAGGTCATTGGTGGATCTACCTGTTTTGGTATTGCTTCATTTTGTATGCAGACAACAAAATTTTGTCCCCTGAAGTGTTTTAGGATATGACAGTAGATTCAGTAAAAGCAGGAAATACCGTATCAAAGAACCTCTGTTGGGTCTAGTCTAGGAACCATAGAGGCAGCAAAGAGTTTGGGACAAATAGCTGACCATAAAAGAAAAGAGCCTGTCTGTATAATTAGCAAAATTTGGAAAGAATGGGGAAAGGAATAAAAGGTTTTCCATAAAACAAGTTTTTAGTGTGAAAATGTAGTTCCTAAATTTTGACATGGAGAGTCCCATGTCTTTGGACGCCATATCTTAATGGCAGATATATTTGAGCATCGATAACACTTGGCATATAGGAAATCTCGTGTTCATTTTTAGTATAGAAACAATCCCATTGGGCAAATCTGAATATATTGGAGGTAATATATTTCTAGTCAAAAATGTTGTACACAGGCATGTGAAAGATAATTCTGCTTAAACTATCAGTTCTTGTTTGGTCAGTGGGGCTTATTCTCAAGTAAATTCACACAGAGTAAAAGTTTGAGTTACAGTTCCAAGCACCTGTTTAGTTCTTATCAGGAAAACTTGACAAAGGAATGAAATAAGTTAACAGTTATGTGCAATGTAGGTCTTTCAGCCTTTCCTCTGGTTAAAAAAATAAAGAAAAAATGGTTCACTACTGAAAAGAAGAGAAAATATTTTAGGAGAATGAAGAAGTGTCATTAGTGTTTGGTTTGAGTCTCACTTATCCAACCTTCGCTCATCCAACGTTCTGTATTGTCCAACACAGTCTGTCTCCCACCCGGATCCACAGCTGTTTCAATATATCTCGATGTTTTGGTGCTAAATTCGTAAATACAGTAATTACTACATAACGTTACTGTGTATTGAAGTGCTTTTACTATAGATTTGTTGTTAAACATGATGTTTTGGTGCTTAATTGTAAAGTCATAACGTAATTTGACATGTAATCGGCTTTTCCTTAATCCCTCCTTATTATCCAACATTTTTGCTTATCCAATGTTCTGCCAGCCCGTTTATGTTGGATAAGCGAGACTCAAATGTAGAAGGGAAACAAATTTAGAAGGACAAACTGCTTCTATTCCTTAAAAAAGAAGAAGAAAGTTGAATATGCCATTTCTCTCAATGTACCTTAGAAATGTTGCTGTTTCCCAGATTGTACTGGTAAAGTCTGGAAAACAAGGAAATCCCTGGAAAAATAAAGCAACTTCATCATCAACAAGCGTTTAAAAGACACACATACACACACAGAACGAGCCTCCAGCCCTTTGATAGACGGTGCTGTTAGTAGCTAATAACTAGCCTCCTGAGATTC